TAATTGGTGGTGGGTGGTGATGACTAGCTGCCTTCCCTCTAGTCTTTCAGTGCTAAATTAGGGAAAGCTAGTGCAGATAGCCCTCATGTACCTTTGCACAAAATTCAAAACAAACCAAACTAAGATTAAAAAGTCTTTAACATATGTTATATTAATGTCCTGCCCCCTATATAACTTGAGTTTTATACAGACTTCATAGAAAATGGAGAGCTGAGAATGACACAAAATCACATACATATAATGTAGATTAAACTTGTTTATTTTATGTAAAGCACAATACAAAAGAGAGTATTGTACTCATTAACATTCACAACATTCTCCGTGTTTCCTCAGTAATGAAAACCAAGGTTTGAAATTTGAGCTATGACAAGAGATGTTAGTTATAACTGGAAAGCAACATTTTACACCCTAGTAAACTGATCAATGGCTATGTTAAAGGCAGCCAAATTTTTAGTTTCCAGGAAAAAGCTTAATAGATTTGCTATGAGCCAATGCACTTATTACAGTGGATCAAACAAATTTATATATAGAAATGAAAAAAACAACATAAGCTTTCAGAGTTAGTTATTTAATTTTTTATCAGAGAAAAAGCAATAACGACACTGTGGTTAAAGCACAATTAATTTGATCACAGAGCCAAAGGAGTGAAACTGAAGTTCTGGTCACCTCCTGATTTCTAAATATAAATATCATCCTTTTTTTAACTTTCGTAACCTGAATCGAAACATTACAAGCACATTTTTTTATCTCAATATTATTTTTTCAATTTAAAATTAATTACATTAATAATATTAATCATGAAAAGGAATACAGGTACACACATAAAATAAAAACACATTTTAGAATGCAACAACAGTTTTGTAAAAATGTAAAATGTGGATGTATATAACATCATCGCTGACATTTTATGTACTATAGATAACTGCTTATATTTTCTTAGCCGTCTTCATTGATTAATAAACCATTTCATTTGAATCATAGAAGTGCAGACACTATAAATCTGAGTTATCTTGTGGAATACTACTTCTTGGTTCTTGTAGTGGAGCCTAATATGTATACAGTAGGTAGTTTTCTGTCTGTGGTGAATGATCTTAAGTGATGTAAATATGTAGTTGTAGTTTTTTTATCTGGTGTGTCAGTAAGGCAGTCTGTTGTAGTATCATCAAGGCTGCATTGTTTAGTGTATGTATAAGTATCACAGATCTTTAGGTCCTGGTTCCTGTTGAGAGAATGGATTGGTGTACTTTGATGTGTAAGGTTAACACTCTTATTTTTTACATTACTGGGAAATATCCAAGATTTAGCATTTTACACAATTTTGTTAAATAGCCAATTTCAATGTTATATTCTGCTTGTGAGCAATAATGTCTGCATATGGACAGTTTTGTGATATCCTGATAATTCTTCAGAATATGTCATACTGAACACTCCGACAAAAGTGTTGCCAAAAGAGCTTTGGATAATAATTTTTTTAATCTATCTTTTCTGGTTGGTTGTTTAACCTTGGTTTACATGCTTCAAAATGTTCTTAGGGGTTTAATTAAGTTGGGGTAATTCCTTTGGAAATTTTCCAAGTGTAAATTATCATCTTTGAAGTGGAAAAAAACCTGAATATTCAATTAATTATGCTGATACATGTAGAAGAAAGCAGAACCGAACCTTTAGAAAGTAAGATTAAAACTCGTATTACCACAGTACTTAGGAAACTTATCCTATCAGACAAAGAGGGAGTACATTTAAAGTTGTCCATATTTCTATTTATGTGGTCTCATACAAGGTATCATTCACCATAGCAATACCCGATTGACTTGGTTTTGGTTTGTTTTGAATTTTGTGCAAAGCTACATGAGGGCTATCTGTGCTAGCTGTCCCTAATTTAGCAGTGAAAGACTAGAGGGAAGGCAGCTAGTCATCACCACTCGCTGCCAACTCTTGGGCTACTCTTTTACCAACAAAAAGTGGGATTGACCGTCACATTATAACGCCCCATGGCTAAAAAGGTGAACATGTTTGGTGGGATGGGGATTCGAACCTGTGACCCTCAGATTGTGAGTGAAGCACTCTAACCACCAGCCATGCCAGGCCATCTAATTGACAGCAAATCTTAGTTTAAAAGAGAGAGGAAAAAATTCAAAGGAATACAAGGTAATATGTAATGACAGCAAGCTGAGTAAAGAGTATTCTGTAAAAATTGTAGCATTGCTAATACTGCAGAGTTTGTCCTGTTCTCACTAAACAACAAGTCATACTTGGTATTAATGGGTTCATGATACTATAAAGGGTGATATGCTATATAATAAGGGGGTATATAAAACACAACTGTTGGTCCAAGAAGTACATTGTGCTCCTTGGATTACGAAACACTATACCACTGCATCTGAAATAATAGGTTTCACCTAAACTACCAAACTATCCTGCTCTGAAATCAAACCCAAATTCTTTCTACATTTTAATGTAACAACAATTACTTTACAACAATCATGAATAAAACCTCAAATGAGGCAACGATCTGAACAGTGTCACACACACACGCAACAGTTTATAAGCATCCTCCAACACAACAAATGAAAATTCTGTGCAAACAAACTAATAACTATAATACATATGTAACAATATCATAGGAATAATAAAATAAATAAATTTAAAAACTAAAACATTGTTCAGTACAAAAACTAAAAAGTCCAAAAAAAATCTATATTTCAAAAGTATAACCAAAGTATATCTATTTATACCACCACTCAAAATTTCTTTTCTCTTCTAACATCAAGCTGTGATAAAAACAAAAAGATCTGTAATGAGAATGAAATGAGCTTTTTGTTTATCCATAATGTGAATAAGAGATAAATTGATAATAACTATAAATAACTATAAATTATAATAATATGAAATTCTCCTGCTGGTTGTTCATTCAGAGTTCTACTTACGTGTAGTTAGGGCAGCCAACTTCATAGCAGTAGTACAGAGCTACTTTTATCTATGGAGTAAACGAGACAGTGTACATTGCTTCTGATGTGACTAGTAAACTTGTATAACTTATAGTTTTTAATAATATACAGGAAATTGTATTCTCTTTGTGTTCTAATACGTTATCCATAGGCTTATACATGGTAACTTCTGTGGTCACTGACATAAAACCACAATTACATATCAATGTTAAAAAACTCATGGATGCTATAACAAGACACACCTGATGTTGTGAATTTTGGGGGGATAGTAAAGCTCTTGTCTTGTGAGTTCCATGGTTGGTTGGTGACCTGAAAACAAAAATTAAGACTATCGCATTAATGCCAAAGTACTTAAATACTGATTCTAGCAAATGATATATTGATTTAAGGAGATATAAAGTATCATATTATAAGGTAAGTAAGGACCAAAAGAATATCCCATATTAAATGTTAATACAATGTATGTATCTAAAAACCATTGAAAGAGCTTAGTATAAGACAACTGATCTCACATCATTTTGCTTTTAAAACTCTAAGTCCTGTAGTGAAGACTACAATATTGTCAAACTTCTCTCAGCTCCCCTGGTGGCTCAATGGTAAGTCTGTGGGCTTATACAGTTAAACATTGGGTTACAATACCCACAATGGGCACAGTATAGATAGCCAATTTGTGCTTAATAAGTTACAAAAACAAAGTTGAACCAACACAAAGATTGTGGCACACCATCTTTTATTGTTTTAAATAATTCCCACTTTCAAAGGGTTCACATAAACAATTTAATTCTGAATTGAGCCAGTTGACATTGGTTTCCTTTTCTCAATATTTAACTTTTAATAGTAACTGTTTATGATCTGGTGTGATTCTTATTCAAATTTCAGATTATGTTCATCGATGTGATAGATATTATTTATGTTCACACAAATACATATACAATATCAAATCTCTGTTAAATCTGGTTTGTTAAAGGATAATAAGTATAGGTAACAATAAAAAAATTACTCCGATCTTATTGACAGTGATTTTTGAGCTCTTCTTTCAGATATAAGAGATTATAAATATTTTTTGAATTGTGTGCAGTGTGTGTGAAGATCTTGGTTGTGATTAGGTTTTAGATACTTTATTCTTAAATCAAGCTGGATAAAGAGACAACTGACTTACATTGTGTCTTTTTCCTTCTTCCTTAAAAAAGCCTAGTATTATAATACGTTAAAACAATGTATAAAACCTGCAGGGAAAAGGATGAGAAGGGAAAAAGAAGAGAAGTTGAGAAGAAAAAGAAGAAAGACATGCATAGGAGGGTTAACAAAATAAAAAGCAAAACATTTTCTGATGGGAAAGAAACCAAGGAAAAAAATAAGAAAACAAACAAAAATAGGGTGCAAAAGTGCAGGTTTAATACCTGAAGATAAAGAACAAACAGAAGAGGAGGGCAGAGGTACAGAAGTACCCACACTGAGTTGAGGTGTAGTCTGTGTTCTCGAACTTGGAAAACTGGCTGACTGACTCTGGTTTTTGGATTGCTTCATGCTTTCTGGGAGCCATTTTAATCGCTGAAGATAAATCTCGATTTCTTCTTTTATCTGTGTAGTACATGAAGAACATTTGAATGCTCTCACTGATTAACTTCAATGCATCTTGTTTTATTTAAGTATTGACAGCACAAAGTATGTAATGATCCAAAAATTCTAGTTTTATTTTAATTACAAGTCTATATGATATCTTGAGCCATTGAAAGCACTTAAAGCATGTAATGATCCAAAATTTCTAGTTTCTAGTTGTTTTTTTCATTACTAGTCTATATGATAACTCGAGCCATTACAACACTTTATTCTTACCAAAAGTCATCAACTTGGACACACAAGTTTTAAGAAATTCTTGCTATGATATTTAACAAATGTTGTTTTCTGTGATTAAGTTAATTTTGATAACATTAAAATGTATCAAGATATGATACACACTAAGTAATTATATCAAAAAGAACAATAAGTTTTTGCTAAAGTAGTCTGTCTAGGAAATTAACTTCATAAAGGATATATTTAGAACCTATGAAACTAGAAGGTAAGATGCAACAACAAAAATAAAATTAAAACTCTGTAAAGACTAGAATAATATAAAACATCACCAAGAAATGGAATATTATGGTAATTCATCTTACATATTGAAAAGAAATGGACATAATACCCTTTTTCATAGGCATTTCTTATTATACTGATATCTTATAATCAACTGTTAATGTATACATCTGACACACACATATGCATTTACAAAGACATACAACAAAAGAATCAGGCATTTTCTTCCCTCAGGCATATTTTACATGGTACAAAAGTATAAATCAACATTTTACATACAACAAAATACTTTTAGTGTCTAAAATGCATTTAAACATTGTTCATCCAGTTGTATACTCTCACAATCACAGGTTTGATCAGATCAGGTTATTCTCCAAATTGCGAATATCATAAGAGAATACTGTGTACATTTGCATACGTTCTAAACAATGTTCATTCAGTTGTATAATCTCACAATCATGTGAGTAATCAGATTAATTTAAAACTTGGCATTGCGATAACAGAATATCATACATATTTGCATACGTTCTAAATATGACTGTACGTTAGACACAAGTTGCTGTAAGCAAATTCTGACAAAACATGAGTTTCAAAATGCTTTATCACACAAGAGCTCCTACTTATCAGATTATTCTGTAACCATATCATCAGCTCTTGCTGTTAAAACAAATTACTTCATAAGGAGTATACTTATGATTAATTTTGGCCATAGCGTTATCAACTACACCCCAACAGTGACTTTCTTCTGTGGCTGTTATATGCACAAAAATATTACTAAAAGAATGATCTAGGCTTTAAATATTACCTTTTCATTTTTCATGAAGTAGAATATGAAAATGAGAACTCCCAAAATACAGTTCAATATTCCAAAGATGTAGGCAAAGATGTGTCTGGATTGGGATATATACAAAAGCCCTACTGCCCAAGTAGAGCTCAGAGATACCATTAGTACACTTGCCCATCTTATCCATGCTCTGTAAAAGAGAGAATGCTCATTCAATGAAAAACGTTAATTAAGGGTCAAAGTTTAAACTAGGATCAGACAAGCTGGTGGCCTCATTATCTAAGACTGGAAGAAAAGTTTTTTGTATTGTACATACTAAACATTTATCAATTTTTACAGATTTTAAATGTATTTGAAACTAGAATAAAACTATTTTTTAAGTGATAATTGTCATACAAAATCACAGACAAATTGAAATTGCAACTTTGTTTGAACACTTTACTCTTAACTTGTATAATACAAGTTTATCATACATACTTTACAATAAAAAAATATGATCAGATGGCTAAAGGACTTGTAGTGACAGTTGTTATTTCTTTAGACATATTCAGAATGGATAAAAATGATTAAACTTCTTCACTTTTTTAACTTCTGCAGCCAGAAAGATACTTGCACTATGGTCAACTACAGAATTTATAAACACTTGTCTAGCAAGATTTTGGTTGATTCAGACAAGTGGACTAACACGAAACTGAAAATCTAGTATGCTATGTACCTCCTTAGTTCTGAAAAGATACATGAAATACAACAAAACTGAAACCTTAAACAACGGGACATACAGATATTATGTTTAACTAAGGCAACACAGAATAATTCTCTCTCTACACAGACATGAGTTTATCTAAGTGTGGTAAGCATGTAATTGAAAACTTTAAATGAAGCTATGTTTTAATTCTTGTTCATGGTCATGTAAGTTCATGATATATATGAAAAAATACCAAACAATCTTACTTTAGTTTTTTGAGTTTCGCCTCCTCCTTCCCTTTTACCATCGTCTTAACTCCAGAATGATAACAAAGGATGCACATGGCTATACACAAGAACACTGCACTACCCTGGAAGTAAAGAGTAACAACGTATTTATTTCCACACTGAGATCAACATTAATAAAAATTACAATACGTAAAGTACCCTAAAAAAAAGTACTTTTTTTGTAAGTGTAGTGAATAACAAAACAGCATGTTTTCTGTGAGTGCAGTAAATGGGTTAATGTTTTAACCATTTATACACAGGTGGTGGTCAAAGTGTATATGCTATGACTTTTTAAAGAGTGCCATTCAACATGGTATTATACTACGTATTTCATGTCAGAGTTGTCAAGTATTCATTTTACCCTTCATTGCTGATTTATCAAACAGTTCATGGTAGAGGAGAGAAAATACCAGATACAATATACAGGGATACTGAAAAAATTGTAAATATACATTTCAGAGAATCTAGAGGTTATGCAAATGGACAAAAGTATTTTTATTCTTCACATGAACATCACCTTGCACTCCAACTGAGAGTCTGAATTGTTGGCAATTCACAAAAATATCTTGAGCACAAATCTGATTTTTTGTGTACAGCAGAACTATACTTATACATTTTACTAAAAGATTCCCAGATTTTGTGTTGATACACATAGTAAATTTGATTCCTTCTCCAATACAGAGCAAGTCTTGTGCACATTCAGTTGATTACTGCCTTACTAAAACTTTTAAACGCATAACTAAAGGAAAACAGATTAATGATTTAACTTTTGCTTCATTTTCGGTTTGTTTTAAAACCTCAACATAAAAAAAAACTAAAACACCTACTGAAGAGTTGCATTTTTCTGCTAATACAAGAAAACAACAAGTATTTAAGTTTTGCCATATCACAATGCTTGTTTCAAAAATTGAAAATATCAAAATAACTGCAGAGGAATAATATACTTCTTTGTAAGTCATATTTTAACTTTCAGGATAACAGCATGTTAGGTTAAATCAGAGATGTTTTGAATTTTAGAATTATATGAATACTTTAATACTTTCCCAATAGAAAATATTGGTGGTAGTCTTAAAGTTTACAAAATAATTATTGGATGTTCAATCCCTTTTCCTTTTGATAAATATTTTTTATTTCAGTTTTGCTTTGGTTGAGTTGGCAGTATTTCACAAATACTTATGAGCATATATTAAATACATTATTTTGTTAGAATTAAAATTATACTAAAAGGGTTTTTATATTTTTTCAATGTACCAAAATCAATAATTTTTTATAACTAATATGAGTATTTTGATTGGAATTGTTATTAATTTTTCTACAGTGCCACATCATCAAAAATTAGAAAAATCCACAGAATTTATAAATACATACAAGTTGAATTAATTAAAGTTTGCATTAGATAAGCTTATAGATAACCAAGTTTGTTTCACTTTTAAGAAAGGTTTTGATTTAATGTGTGCCTTTCATTAACTAGTAGATAATTTTAACTTCACAAAATTAGATGGAAAACATTAACAGATTCAAAAGCTCTTGAAGTGAAAAATCATGCATTTTGAAATTTTGAGTAGCTACCTCTCACCTTAGTGTTCTAGAACATTTCATACATGTACATATTCTTTATCATTATTTTGTTTCATGAATTTTACAGATGCTATGCATGCAAGTATTACAGGAGTATATTAAAATTACTAAAATGTTAAAAACTAAGCATACTATATCCATGTATACAAGTTCAAAAAATTTATAAATCTGTATATTTGTCAGGAAAATAACTATAAAAAAGTTTTAACATACACAAATAAATTTTGCTCCTATTGTAAAGTGAAATATGCATCAATTGCAACATTTTTTTTTCAAAGATATATAGATTGTTGCTATAAAATCAAACATAAAGGTACACAAAGGGAAGATTTAGCATTTTTTTAATTCTCTTCTAGTCCAAAGAAAATAAATTTGTCTTTGCATGTTTCTCTATCATATCAGAAAACAAAAAGAGTTGTATTTTGACTTAAATTTTCACCAATATATAAAACATTTCAAAGAAATGAGAACAAATAATTTATAATTAGGCTTATTTGTAAGTAGTGTTTGAAAGAATTACACAGAGTAGCTTTGTGACATCAAATATGAGATAATAATCAAAATGTGTCAGATAAAAACTTTTAACAATATGTTTAAGGTTTGTGTAAATGGTGAATATAAAAATTGGTATTAGGTTATATAAGAAAAACAGAGGTTGGTAATTATAAAAAAAGTAACTGATATATAGACAGCATGCATAAAATATAGCATTAGTAGATACACATTTTAGTGTATGTATATATAAAAGAATTAATACAAAACTGAATAAAACAGGTATATTATACAAGAAAATTAATACACTACATAAGTACAAGTGCAAATCAAATACTTGTTTTTTTATATGATTATTTTTTTCAAAATTAGGTAAAAAGCAACTACAAGATAATAATAACTACTATACAAGTGACAGGAATGACAAGAACATGAGGTTTTCTCAATGACAATAACTTAAAATAATCAGCTTTTATTTCTATTAACTATTTAGTTTCAAAACTGAGTGAAATAGGCTTCTCTACATTTTTCTATCAGTGTAACATTTTGATTTTTAAAAATATACTGGTGTGGCTAATTTATGGTTCTTGGCAATATGTTCTGCAAATGTTGGGATCATCAAAATAGATAAAAATTAGCATGTGCAACATTGATATGGTGTATGTTTGTGTGTGTGTGTGATTGCTTATTGCTAAGCAAGCAAGAAGGAATAAATTGATTAATAACAATACATGTAAGCGTATAAACCATCTGATACTCGTTTAGACCTACATGTATATTCCATAAAAAATTATATTATGTACAAATTAGGGTATTAACAATTTAAGATAAAAAGAGAGACCTATACCTTCTGGAATATTTTATTTTTTTTTAAATTCCTTTTCTCAAAAACTGCATTACTGTTAAGCAAATAAAGGATGCTTCTACTACCTGTCAACGTTGACAGGACAAAAGTTTACACTGGGAAAAGCACACTTGTATTAAGACACAAAGACAAGAATTTTCATGGGTATACATTAGGACAGTTAAATGGAAATGCACACACACTCTGCTACTATTGATATTTCTTAAGTAGCAACAGATCCTTTGAGCAGCCTGAAAACTAAGAACAAAACTGTGTTTCAATCTCAAATGTTTCAGGTAACAAAAATGCAACATAATTAGTTACACTAGTTTCAATACTTACAAAAAGTATTCCTACTGCTGGCCCCACAAAGCTGAAAATAAAGTAGTTGTCTGTCCGCAACCAACAAAATTCTTTTGTGCCATAGCTGTATGGATCCACAATGGCTGAAACGGACACAATAATTATTGGAATTCCATAACCCAATCCATGATACCAGATAGCTCTGGATTTCTCAGATTCATATACCTCAATTAGAAGAACATAAAGATGAAACCCCTCAACAAATACCCAAGCAAAAACAGCCAAAAGAAAGTAGTGTAATAATCCTGCTATCACTCCACAGAGAGTTCTGATATGGGTTTGACTAATTCCAGCTGCAAATACTAACTCTGCCCCCAGAAGACAAAGGCAGATATTCTTGTGAATAGTTATTCTGTCTGTTTGAAGATTTCTGAAAGCATAAAGAAATAATATTTTAAATAAAATAATTCCTAATTGTCATATAAATATATAAAATTTGTATTGAAACAAGAAAAACAACAACATTAAATTAAACTATTTCTTACACCAAATAAACAGACACATTGATATTTACTAATGAAACAGGTTATCATACTCAACAGAATATTGCTTAAACTAGTAAACTCTATACAAAGTGTGCTATTTTCAATTTAATTAGTTAATGTATGACAAATTTTTAATACTAAAACATCAATACTTCTGTACTAATAAACTTGGGTAGTAGAAGTACCACTTTCTTCACCTAAAATCACGCAAAGATTGAGTTTGAATTCAACTTTAATAATACATAGCAACTGTAAGATACTTCCCAATCACTAGAGCTATAATAGTACCACAAAGAAGAACAACTACATAATCAAGTAAAAATAACTGAAGTTTTTCTCAACAACTATATTAGGTATCAGCTGATGTTTCAGATCCACCTATAAATTACTATGTAACTTTATAACACACACAAAATAATTTAAGAAACTTTGTAACTCTTTAGAAAATGCCGTATGTATTAGTAAAAGTAAAAACTTATTCAGATGTTTTGTTAATATATATAGATAAGATGACAGAATTCTCTACTAGCAGATAACTTACCAGCAATCATTGAAACAAGTAACGTGAAAGTAATAACAATGATGGCCTAATGAATCTTATAAAAAGTATTATAAAATAAAGAACAAACATTGTTAGCTTTCAACATATAACACAAACCAATTAGTCAAATCTACATGTACAATTAAATTTTGAATAAAGTTCTTAAGTAATAAAGTTGTTATAAACCAACATTGTTGTAAATTTTCTGTAGTAGAAAACCGTAGTTTTTCCCTTATGAAAATTAATTGTAAACTGTGCATTCATTGCAATGTCAGAATAAGTCATTTATTACTGATTTATATCAGATGTGAATAGCTTTCCTACTAACAACTTAACCCAACCCAGTAACATGCCCAGTGCTTCACTTATAATAAAAATACCCTTTATTTGGTTGTTTACCAAATTCATTCCACTTGTGTGAGGAGATGATGTTACCTTTCTTCTGTATACATAAATATATTTCAGTATTTTATCAATTTCAATTTAAGATTACATTTTCTCTTTAGTGGATTCCTCAATGCTTTAATGATGCCATACTTTGAGTTTTCAAATGTGTATTTTTCTCCTTGAGATGCTGTCTTTGATTCAGTTTTCTTTTTGATATTACTTTAATATTAATATTGATTTAATATTAACTTGTCCCCTTTTTTTAATACTAATACTTCAATTATCTTAAAATGTTAATCTGCCTCAACTCTTTTAACTTTATAAACTTAACTTTTTTCAGTAAGTATTTTTAAATTGTCCCTTATACTCTTGTCTTCCTTCCTCACCTTCTAAAGTTTCTTCTCATGCTGGATTTTCTCTTGGTGTACAGTCTAATTTTGAAGAGTTTAGATTTTTTTATTTAAGGATCATTAATATAATTATTTCCACATTTGACTAGTAGATCTTGTCCACATCTGTTTTCCTTCCTCGATTGTAATATTTGTGATTAAACGTTTCTTGATTATTATTTGTTTATTAATAACTTTCTCTTGCCTTTATCTTTATGATCTTTGAATTTATAATGATATTGTTTATTGCCATGACGTTTATGTTTTAATAAAATAATGTCTTAATATAGCTTTTTTATCAGTTTCCTTCTGTTTTAGGTCTATCAATTGGTAAAGAGAAGAAAGACACTAAAGTTTATAAAATTCCAGTAGTTATCTATATATATATATATATATAAATACATATACATACACACACACACACACACACACACATACACTATATATATATATATATATATATTTATTTATTTATTTATAA